CATTTTACTTGTTAAAATACTGATGTCTGTGCATCATCTCTTTCAGAAGGGATATCACACCACCGATGAACCTGCATTGTATACAATATATGTGCATAAAGAACTATTTCCATCATCTGAACAACTCTTGCTTATAATGATACTTATACTGTTCATTTTATTATTCAGGTGAATATTATATCTGTTTAACGGCCAGTGTCAGAAATCTCTTTTATCGTGGTATGGAAACTCATGTGAATGTTAGAAAACTATTTTTCACACTGAGTCTGATTTATGTTAGATATTTTGTGGTAATGTCAATTAGCAATTCATACCCTGCAAAGTCAAAATGAAACCCCTGATTTAGGTTTACAATGTCATTTTCATCCACATTGATGGAAATTTATTCAATCTACATATCTTAATGTTTGTTCGTATTTCTATTTTTTTGTATTTACAGGGCAGCCATCTTAGCCACACAAGGCGTAAAAGTAACACCCTATTACCAAATACCGAAGCATGTTCTCAGCTCCTCAGGAAGCCAATGGAGCTCCTTGAGCTGTGCACTAGAGTAGGTAACAGGTGCTAACAGTTGTATAAATCTGGCTTAATTCACTATAAAAACAGTTTTTTGCCTTTTCCATTCCGTATTTTTATCAAGAAGAACCAATTAAAACTAAAATGTACAATCACATGGTTGAAACTACCAGGCTTTAGAGAAATAAGCCTGTTGTGTACATACAGTCTTAATTGGCTTATGTAGGAGAAGGAATAGAAATTATACAATATATCCTAACTTGTTTGGTTTGTATACAGCGTTATGCATTTTTGACAAATATTGCTACATATGCATATGCACCCCATCAGAGTATATTTAAAACCACATCTTTATTTCTTACTTCAATAAAATCTTCCACCTTTTTTATTCTTTCTGCACTCATATTTACATGTATTTTACTATATAGAAAGGATACAATAGTTCTAGTCTCATCTTGTTCTCCATTTATTTTCTCTCTCTCTTCCTCCCCCTCTCTCTCTCTCCTATTTCTTCTTCACTATTCCTCTTCTACTTCCTATTCCCTTTCTTCAATGTTCCTAGATTTCATATTTTTCATCTATCTGCCTTATTTTTTCATCATCCATATTTTCCAAATTCTTCTAACACGGGTATAGATCATGTATTAACAAAGACTTCCATACAGAATGTTAAATAAGCCACAATTACAGATTCAATATACTGTAAGTAATGTCAGTCCCGCAATAAAGCAAACTGATTACATACCTGTAGGTTACATTGTAGTACAGTTTAGATACCATCTATCAGTCTTCCTAATGTGTCTGACTTTTATCACTATATCTCAATGTTTTCTCTCCATATTCATATGTTCTAACTATTCTTCTCAAACTTTATCTTCATTTTCCTCATTATTCTTCCTTCCTTGGTATCTTTTTTAATCTAAAATATATGCCTACGCCAATACACTACATGTTTTGCTGCTTTTGTGGCTTCGTCAGGGGTTAAACCATGTCCATAGTAATTATTGTTCTCAAGTGTCTTTTAGATGCAAACTAACACACATTGGCGTTATATACTGTAACCTCTGATTACTCTGCCCTATTGGAGCATGCTAGTGATGCCCCCAAGAATGGCCATTAGGAGTTGTCAAAGCTATAGACATTAAATCATTGTTAGCAAGACAGGAAGGCTGTGATCTCATGTACATACTTGGAAAAATACAGAATGACTTCTACTGTACTATTTATATATTGTTGCAACACATATTAACACATATTACCAGATATTACATGCATCAGCTCATTAAAGTGAAGGTAATGTTAATGAATGGGTCCTAAGTGTATGAATTAGTATACCTCATGTTCCCCATTTATAAATGCATTTTTACAAGTTTGACAATGCTTATGCCACCTTCACTGTGCTACCCCAAGCATGTTAATGTGCATTATTGCATACCTTAGATTTGCCTGCCTGTTTCCAGAGCATGCAGAGTTTGAAGACTTCAGAATGAAGCTAAACATATGCAATTTATAAATATAGATAGAAAATATATACTGGAAATAAAAATATGTAAAAAATGTAGTAGCACATGTAATACATCTATAGTTTTTTTAAGTGCACATACAGTCTTCAAACACTTTGCACATACAAACAGTTAGGGACATTAAAAGCCAGTTTCCAAAGATAGATGCTGCATAAGTCCACCCAAAACTAAATGAGATACAATGATTTATCTATGTCTACATGGTAGAGTTCAGGTGGACCACTGGTTTGCAATAGAGAGCTGTATATAGAGTGGTCTCCTGGGGTGAAGGATGAAAGTTAAGTAGATACTCTGGCATCTATCCTGACTGACCTAAAGCCCAACTCTGGGCTCAGGATTTCCATCTCACTGTCTCCACACCACGAAAGCACTACTGCAGTCTCAAAAAAATCTGTATATGTACCTTTTTTGTAGGTGTCTTCGGCTGGGTCCAATGAAATCACAGGTCCTCAGTGCCCTTTCCTGTGGCAGCAAACGCATACATTCTTTGGAACCTTAACTGAATAATATTTTGGTTAAAGGATGGGGTGTTATTGGCCAATTACGTACTAAGTACTTAAGTATGGCAGGGAGTGGTGATTACTGACCTTAAATTTTTTCCTGGCAAGTTCCCACACACCCTGCTAATTTGTTTTTTGTAATGCATTTATTAGTCAGTTTTACCTTGACAGCGATTGCATGGTACCGGCTTTATTCCCTCAGGGACTTTGATAAGTTGGATACCTCTTAGGAACTTAAATATTGTGACTCAATTCTAGATTCTCTCGCTTACTCAAGACTACATATTCCATCATGCATTGCTTCCAGCAAGCAATGATAATGTTACATTGTTGGAAGTTCAAATGTTGAGTTGAAGTTCAGAAGGCAGGCTCTGTGAGAGCTTGGACACTAAGTAAGGGCATATTCACAGGGTTGAGTGAAATTGTATCAGTGCATTGAAGAAGTACATCCTATGGTCATCTTCAATAAATAAGTATACAAACTTCTAGATCAATATGGTTATTAGGAGTGGGATATAAATTCCATATGGAAATACATATTTATTTTTAGTTTTTGTCCATGAAAAATATATATAAAAAGTTGAATCTTTGCTCAAGCTGGAGTTGGACTTGCTTTATACCCTTGCAGGGCAAAGCAACACGTTTGCTTTAATCCTTCCCTCCATAGCAATTTATGGGTATGGAGAAGCATATGACTTACTCCATGTGACAATCAATAACGATGCACGGGCACTTGTTCCTTACATAGGGTGGCTTATCCTATTCCTGGCAAATGAACTGAGTGGTAGCAGTGAAGGAAATGTGAGTATGTGGTGCTAGGGAGGGGACTAAAGCAAAACTGTTTTGCCCTGCATGGGTAAATCACAGGTTCCCTTTAATGACATAATTCAACATTTTTTAACTGGACAGTATATCGTAGCATACTGTATGTGTCTATTAAAGCATTGTACAATTTCCCAGCATCATTTAAGTGTCTCTAGTGCATTCCTAGGACTCTTTTTAAGTAACCAAACACAATAGGTCATAAAGCCACAAATATGTATTTTTTTTTTTGCTTTATTAGTTTCTTATATTTTTACAATGGAAATGAAACTGTTTAGTAGTAAAACAGCAGAAAAAGGAGACACCTGTTGTTAAGGGAAGTTTAAAAAGGAACTTCATGATGATGTGATCTCCGGATATTGTAGAAATAAGGGTACTGCTATAACTCCGCTTACCGCTGTGGCTGCTATCCAGAGGTCTTCTTCTTTTAGAAACTTTCAGATCGTAGTATTTTGTTCTTAATTCAGTTCCTAGATACTACTCTGCAGAGCGCTTATAGAATTTGATTGTTTCCAGACAACCAGCACTCTGCTGAGCAGCTTATGTCACATGACACAACCAACACAGGTCTCTCATGCTGTTCCTGGGCAGGACTATTGCTGACCTCCTTCTGAAAAGTCTATTGAGTCACAGTTGTGATCCACTCATCTCTGCTAGACAACTCAACCACGTCCCTGACCTCATTTGTCTCCACTGCAGTAAAAAGATAAGTGCACTTTTAAACAAAGTGCACCCATCCCTTTTGCCGGTTTACCCTGACCTAACTTAACCTCCCCCACATCCACAGATGCATACTTACCTCAACATCGGTGACCTCTGGTGTTCCTGGCCACACCTGTGCATTACAGCCCAATAGACTTCTATGGGACCATTTATTTTCCTCTCCAGTCTCAGGACACAGTCCTATAGAAGTTTATGAGGCTGTATTGCTCAGTCAGGACAGTGAGACTTGCGGCATTGGATGTAAACAATTACCGGAGGCTGCGGCGGTCTGTGGTAGGGGAAGGTGGGTTAGGTTCGATCAGAGTAAAGGGGCAAAAGGGATAAGATTGTTTAAATTCTGTGCACAGGAAATTACAAAGCCACTGGATTTTTGTACTAGCAGAAAATGTACTGAGGCTGAAAAAGAAAACGAATGCAGCCCCCACATCTATAGACTGGTAAGCTGCAACATATTATATTTTTGTTCTTAGGTTGAGATATATTACAGTCTCAGAGAAAATGTATGCTTTTGCACTTTTGCTTTTCTTAAAGTTACTAATAGTGAGGTTTATATGAATTGCGACTTCTCAGAGTGTGTAGGTAGGAAATCGTAATCACACATTCTATCCTTTTAATAAAAGTTACACCAAGAGCTGAGCTTAAAATGCAATGTGAAGTAACTTAGATTAACTAATTGCATGCATCAGCAGCAAGTTAGCTCAATGCTGATTGGTCACTGTAGCCTGTTGCGTTTTCTCTCTGCCTTATTAAATAAGCCTATTTGTTCTATGACACTGATTAAGCACTTTTAAGCACTATTTAAAAGGTAATGTATGGCATATGTGTTGCTAATATATACAGTGTTACATCAAGTCAACAATATAATAAATGATGAAACAGACATGATAAATGGAATATGGTGGCAGATTGTAAATGAAGATGGTCACATGATTCTAGAATAGGAGCAGTTAGAGTCCGTGAAGATTGTCCCATCTCTAGAGATAACCACTGTGGAGTGAAAGACCTGGTTGGACAATCTTTTGAAAACTTTAAAGATTTCTCTCCTAAACTTAACACCAACAAATGCATACACAATGGGGTTTATGCACACGTGAGAAAGACCCAAAGCCTCGGTGACAATCATCCCAATGTCCAGGATCTTCTCCAAATAACAGTCACGACTGATAATTTTCAAACGTTGCAGGCTGTCGACAAGTTGTAAAGCTTTGTAAGGTGTCCAGCAGAAGACAAACACAAGTAAAAGGACTATAATAACCATCTGCGATCGTCGAGAGTGGTTGTGCCTGGACCTTTGAAGTGTGCAGAATATCCGAGAGTAGGAGTACACCATAAACACTAATGGAAGGATGAATCCAATGGCAAGTTCTAAAAGCTGTAGAACAACTCTCCAAAAAGTGGACTGACCTAAAGGAAAGTTATACGTGCAAAATGAGCCTTCGGATTTTCGGAAATGAAGCTCTTGCCAGGATAGAGTGCAGGAGAACACCCAGATAAAAATGCAGATGAAAACCGTGTGCAGAGGTCGCTGCTTTTTATGAAGTTCTATGGCGTGGACGATTGAGAAATAGCGATTTATGCTTATGCTCACCAAGAAGAAGATGGTGCTGTATATATTTATGGTATAAAGAGCTCCGAGAATCTTGCAAGGGATGTCACCAATGATCCAGTGAAAACTGTACTGGAAGGCCCAAAAAGGCAAAGTGAGTCCAAGAAGAAGATCTGACAAGGCAAGTTGGAACAAGTAGTGGTCTGCTAGAAGCCAAGGGGAGCGTCTTACTGTTAGCACATACATCACCAGCCCATTGCCTAATAGATCCAACAAGAAAACCACCATATAAGCAATTGGGATGAAATAGGTAGCAAAGCTACCGACTGACTCAATCGTCTCACAGGCAATGGCCTCCTCGTCCTCTGGCCCTTCTGTATATGGCTGTAGACAGTAATAAAAAAAAATATTATTATGACTACTCAGTAAACCTAAAATAGTGAAGCTATTCAAAATTATTATAAGTTAACTGAAAACACTTGCTTTCTCCTTGAATCAATAGTTGCAGGACAGTCATGCATGGAATAGGTTTACTAAGGTTTGCACATTTGAAGTTAAACACTAGGCAGATATTAATAAAATAAGTGTATGTACGGCTAAAATGTTTCCCTATTTTATTTTCAGATAACGTAAGGATAAACTAACACCCCTGTCAGCCTATATTTTGTTTTGGGTCTGCAGGGGGGAAAGCACCAAAATCAGAATGTATAAAGTCCAGATTTATTTTAATCAGATTCCTGTATCATGAAAAGCCAATGCGTTTCAAGGTTTAAAGGATCAAGCTTCATCAGGGTTTGATGCTGTTGAATGGCTACGACATCTGGAGTGATCATACTAAGTAATTACCCCTCTGAATACCTCTAATGTTATCATTCTTGTACACGCTCCGATCAACAGTACCAAGCCTTGATGAAGGGGCACTGTTTAAACTACTAAAACGCATTGGATTTTTATGATATAAGAATCTGGATATAATAAAACCTGGACTTTATATGTTTTGCTTTTGCACACCCAGTACTTACTCGAGCAATAAACCAACTTTTGGTCACCTCTACATTGCTTAAACACTTACCACTCTAAGAGTTCCAGTGCCTTACACAAGGCCGCCCTATAATGAGGAAGCCTGAGGCATCTCATTGGGGCAGCTGGGTGGTGGGGTGGTGAGGGGAGGTGGCCACAGCATCCCAGGTTGCTAAGAGCTCCTGGAAACCTGTGACACCCTGCGCGTCTTCCCACCCAGCTCACTGACATCACCAGTTGGGATGCTCTGGCTTGCGTTTCGCTAAGCTTCTGCTAACTAATGATGTCAGTGAGCTGGGTGGGCGCTGGACAACAACAGCACCCCCTCCCCAGTGACCATTCCCTGCCAGCACTCACCTCTTCAGTGGCCATCCCCTGCCAGCACAACCCCTCCCCCCTCACCCCTGAACACCAGCACATGGCCTCAGGCAGTGAATACCTTAGGGACAGCCCTGGCCGCACACCTTTCCTCTACTTCACTACTTCCCAAGCTTATTTTTTTGCTGTCTATACCCCACTGACAATACTTCTCTTCACTCCCTGTCCTGGTGACATATCAGGAAGTAAGAGGAAATCCCCTGTTAGACAGTTGTAGCTAGAACAGGTGTCCACATTTGAATGTCGATAGATGAAAGTAGTCACTTGCACTCCATGATATTAAAGTCAATGCTGTTTATTGACTGAGATAACACACATCTCCTTAGCGACGTTTCGAGACCATGCGGTCCAGTCCTCAGGCAAACAGGAGGACGGGACCGCATGGTCTCGAAACGTCGCTAAGGAGATGTGTGTTATCTCAGTCAATAAACAGCATTGACTTTAATATCATGGAGTGCGAGTGACTGCTTTCATCTATCTACATTTCACGGAGGCATCACCACCGCACCCACCCAGTTGGATTTGGGTTTCTGTCCGGTCAGGAGAGAGATGGGATAGGAGGATTTAGTCACATTTGAATGTCCTCTCATCCCCTTGTTTGGTGACAACTGTACAATTTTGGATTTCTTATCGTTTTAGTCACCAGGACTAATAGGAAGGGCAATCTCTCCAGGGGAGACCCAGACAGCAATAAAAACTGACAGAGGTTTGGACCCTTCCCCACTCTATTCAAAATAAAAGAAAATGTATGTCTTTCAAATACATTTTAATGCAGTTGTGTGTTCCTTTAAATCAGACCTTTACCTATATCTTTAAAATAACAGCAAACATACCTTTAGAAATGTTTAGTAATGACTAGAGAATTGCCGGCGTTGTATTCTTTGCACACCTTATTTCTCTTTCCTTCCCCAGTTTTCTGACAGTGGCCATGTTTACTAAGTGCAGATTACTAGCTCTCCTATTACTTCCTGGATTTCTGGCACATGTGACTAGACATGTGAATAGGACATGTGACTATGCACATCATCGCAGGGGAGGAAAATGTATTTCCCTTAGATCTCATGAGATTACAGATGACATTTCCCAGCAATGCTCTGCTGATGACAAGGCAATCCCAGGGTGCATTGCTTTGGCAAACTGAAGTCATTTTACCCTTTCAAAGCAGGAAGTGAATGCTCTGCAAGTGTAAGTATTTCACAATCACAGCATTTTACACCTGACATGTCTATGTTATTATTAATCATCATACATAGAGGGATGCATTGGTAGAATTTGATTTTTGAGTGTAAAGGTCCGCTTTAAAAATGATTAAATGCATTTTACCCACAGCTAGCATAATGATGTGAATCTGTGTCGATGTCAGTTCCTTCATCCCCTGTACAGCAGACTGGAGACTGAGGTGCAGCACTAGTAGCAAACCAAGCTCTGCTACAGTACATATACATATGCTAACAAGGAACATGCTGCCAGTATAGTAAGCAAAGTGGATGACCTCTCTGTGTGTTGCTGCTCCCTCACTGTCCAATCATTGGGCTGTCAATGAGGAAGCAACACCAATGTAATCCTTAACTTTAACAGAGAAAACGGTATCAACCTCCTGACTGTGCTGTCTGGCAGAAGTGTATGAATCGCAAAAGAGGCTGGACAGGATTACACATCCTTTCACAGACTGACCTACCAATTAATGTACTGAGCAGTTTCCCTGGTGTTAAGCATACAGTAGAACTCTGGGCAAATTACAAATGAATCCTGGACGTGGGGCTACCTCCACTCACTTTTGTCTAGGATCTAAATTAAAAAGATATACTCAACTGATTCTCAGGTCCTGCAGCGGTGACTGGCCACCTCTATCACCCTCCACTCCGGCTGTGGTAAGTCCCTTGGCCTCCACATGTCCAATGCAAGTCAGTGGACTTGTATTACATGTGAGGGCATCAGTGGGGCTTAGACCACGGGAGCCTATCTCATTGGGATCGAGGATCGGGTGATTAGCCCCACTGCATGGATTAATTTGTCACTTACCCGGAGTTCTTCTGTAAAACAAAACTAAAAAAAAAAAATCTCTTTCAGAAATGTGCAAGTACAGTATGTAGCATGTGTATGTAGTAAATCTTTTGTATTATTTGTAAAAAATAATGTTTATCACCGCAAGTCGGTTTACACACACATGTGGATTCTCAGTATGAGTCAGCTTCTGATACACCTAGTGGAAAAGGTATACAGCTGTGGTCCTGGGCAGAGAAAAAAAAAACCTAGCAAATAGATTTTAGATTGCTTTGTGTTACAGGGTGTGTGTGATTTTATACTTTGATACTTTATTATATGTTTATTAAAAAAAAATGGACTAGTAAAACAATATGTTCCCTTTATATGCCTAAAGACTATGTAAACCTTAGCAGTTCATTTCCCTTCCTTTGTTCCCTTTTGTTCGGCTAGAACTATGAGGTGAGTGAAAAGCACTCACCTCATAGTTCTCCTTTAAATATATAATTGAATGAGTTTTTTAAATATCTGTTCAATGGATGCAAAAAATACCCGTTGAGCCCACCACAAACCAGGGGAACTTGCAAGTTTTGGAGCACTCTGCGTTGCTATCTCAAGCAGTGTTATCAACCTCGCTCAGTTCACCTCTGGTAACTCCAAAACACTTCCCTCTATGTTATGGAGATGAGGAAGGGGGTGTTTTTTTAGCTCTTAAACACTTTATATCCTATGGTGACAAGTCTAAAGATACAGTAGATTGAGTGAGTGTTATACCAGGGCCATAACTACTGATCATGGGGCCCAATAGCAAAATTTAGATGCCCCCCCCACCCCTGGGCAAACCTCCTTAATGTCATTGAGCTTAATATAAAGTATGTGGAAATTAAGGACCATGTAGTAGGAGATCTATCAGCATAGTCAGTACATTTTTATGGACCAGTGCTATGGGCAGAAGTTCTCAGGGAAGAGGGGGCATCAGTGCAGGGAATTAACGTTTTAGGACTGACTCCAAATAATTAGGACTGACTCCAAATAATTAAAAGTAGAACTATGAGGTGAGTGATTTACACTCATCCTCATAGTTAGAGCCGACCTGTGACAATGAAACTGTCACAGGTCAGCTCTATTGATCGGGAAGTGAGTGAACAGATACCGTCGCTCGCTCACTTCTCGATCATCTCCCTGCAGACAGCTGTGACTTTTAATCACCGCTTCCCACAGGGATTCCCCCTTCTCCGATCCTCCAATGCTGATTGGAGTAACAGACTGGAGAGGGGGCGGGCACAGTTGGCTCTGCCTCTAGATAGGCAGAGCTCGCTGTCAATCAGCCATCTGGGTGGATCGCGACAGTATTGTGGGGGTCCGTCCCGGCTGCAGCCCTCTCAGTATATAGCGGGCAACAGCCCGCTATATACTGAGCTTTTGGTCAAGGGAGGAGGTTAGTATATGAGCATTTGTCCTACTGTGACCCTAAAGAGAACTAAAAAGGTTACCCCATAGTTCTCTTTTAAAGTCTCTCTTTAATTAAAGTCGTACATTTTATGTATTGAAATTATTATAGAAAGTAAACTTGTATTGCCTTCAAGTAATACTGCAGTTGAACAGAAGGCACACATCACTCATATTCCTTTAGTGGACCTCTCCACAGTTATAAATTTATATGCATGGCCAATGGCAATGACTATACAAATGCTAACAATCAAACAATAACTGCATCCTCCCTTCCCCAGTGTAGTATGGTAGTTGGGATGTGCATATAAGTTTATATATGCAGGTAGAAGAGGTTGAAGACAGTCAGACTGCCCTGCTGCCTGAGATATGTATAGGGAAAAATTAGCAACCAAACAAGGTTCTCAAACCTGTCCTATTGGTCATATTTGCTGCAGAATGGTTGGTCACAGCTACCTGCAGGGATCTTCAGAAAGCACAAATTGTGAGGTCTAGTTGGAAATAGCTGAAAATGTAAAACACTAATTTTCTATCTACAGTAAGTTAAGCTCGGG